GTGGATGTGAAGGGGAGACAGAGTTAACACATTGAAAAGAAAATTTAGATCAGGGATGAGGGATCACTGTCGGTTTCAAATTGTCTGACGATGATGGCCCGATAGAGATTGTTGTTTCTGTAGTTGTGTAATACTATCTTCGTTTCAAAATACAAGGCTAATACTATTTTCAAACTTTTCATTCATGTGGCTTCAATGATCTTTTGTCACTCCCCTCCTAACTTCGCTAGCCAAACAAGGATAGCTCCACAAACTCTGCTCAGAAAAAGGTGGAGTACATAGTTGAGGGCCAACTCTAGTGTTAGTGGAACATAAACGATTTTAATAGAGTAGAGCAGTCCAAAACAGATCCTAACTCTACATCTCATTCTCGTCGTGTCCTCTGCACTAGCTAATTCTCACTCTGGCATGAATGTGCGTGTGAGATAGAGATGGTCTGAAGGTTCACTGAATAAATGGTGAGGAAAGACAGGAAAGATGAACAAATCCACATTCATGCATGATATATATGTTTATTTATTTAGAAAACAAATTACAAATTGAATATCCATATATTAAATTTCGAAATGGAGAGAGTACATTGATTGTTTATGTAACCATGTATGGAGCCATATACAGATCTATACAATTGTTAAAGTGCTTTATTTGTGGCTTGTGGGCAGTTATCTATCAACTTGCATTAATTGCATGCTAATTTATAGTATGGCCCCGTTCGCTTCGCTGAAAAAAAAGCCAAAACACTGTTCCAGCTAATTTGTTGTGAGAGAAAAACACTGTTCCGGCTGAAAAAACAACCTAAAAAAGACGGATTATAAGATAAGCGAACATGACCTATATACTGTATTACCTACGAAAATGCATATATATACATCAGCAATATATACCGTTATGCATACTTTCATCTACGGTAGAACGCAAAGTCTTCGTTTTCAGCTCTTTCTGGCCACCCACTTTGTAATAGAAGAATCCAAGGCAATGAAAGTAGAATTGACAACGTGACATGCATGCTTTTCGCTCGGCTACTACAGTAAAATTATCCGGGAGGAGAGTTAAAAAAAACTGCTGGATAACAAGAGATAGATTTTGCCTTGGGCAGTGTGCACCGGCAATTGTCATGGCTGCAATGCAAAGAATGTGCAAGGTAGTTAATCACGGCCGGATGGGAATAAAGTGGTAGAAAAACAAGGGGGTTAGGAGGACTAAACCCTTCCAAACCAACAGGATCCATGTGGGCTGGCGCACAGCACCAGCTTTTTCTGGGTGCCAACCACCTTTTGTGATCTGGTGGGGCGGGAGGCGAGATCTGGTCTTCTCTTGCCAGTGACTCGGAACCCCTTCGTTCTTCCCCTGCAAGCCAGTGGCAGGCCACGTAATTCTTCCATAATTGAGGGCTATTCTTCCCTTCACCGTCACACCCATGATAACTTATAGAAAACTCAAACTAGAAAGGGGCCAAATTGCACATTCTCAATGTTAGCTTACGGCACCGGCCACATTTTCTTTTGCTACGGGGCCTGTTTAGCTGTTAATCTGAGAAGTTTGTTTGGCCAAACAATAATTTCAGACGTCGGCCCTGTCTAGCTGTTGACCTGAGAAATTTGTTTGGCTAAACAACAATTTTGGATTTTAGAAGACTGGTCCGATGTATAGTTGCCTGACCCAAACAAATTTGCTAATCCACCAACCAAACATCCCCTTTGATGTGCTCAGCCATCCATTATCGCAATTCGGGTTTAGGCTAACAAAAAAAACACCAAATAGTTCAAACAAAAAACATGGTATAGGGTGTTTGGTTTGTGGAATGAGATCCACCATTTTTTTTTTCATCAGTTCTTTGTTTGTTTTGTGAAATAGAATAAGTTGATCCATCGTCACCTCATTCATAAAAAAGTTAATAATTAGTATTGGCATGAGAAATGAAGTTATTCCATTGAAGTTAATAATTAGTATCACAAGTTTTTTTTTTCAAATTTGACTTTTATTTCAATTTGACACCCTGAATCAATGGGGAGTTTCAGTTTCCACAAGATTTTGTTCTGCATGAAGTAGGAACTACATTGTGGAAGGCATCATTCGTTATTGTACGCAATGTTAATTTGTCATTCAACTATTGATTTATGAGTTGCCTTTGTCGGTCCTGGTATTATTTCTGCTGTAAAACAGCAGTCGGAATTTAGTTTCTTCTATGTATAGTTTTGCTGCTATTATATCAGAACATAAAGATCAGTACTCAAATTAGACGCTCTAGCTGCTCCCGCGCATTTTTCTTACAAGATGCATCAGTTCAAAATGTGTGCCGCGCGCCTTTTGTCAGTGACACGTATGGAAAGGTGTTTGCTCAGGTTAATTCCTGGCATATATACTGTTGAATCCAACGATGCACTGGAGAGCTAGCCCTGTTTGGTTCATCAGCATCAATAACGCCTTGTTTAGTTTCACCCTAACTTCCAAAAAGTTGCTACAGTACCTGTCACATCGAATGTTTGCGGCCCGTGCATGGAGCATTAAATGTAGATGAAAAGAAAAACTAATTGCACAGTTTGGTGGGAAATTACGAGACGAACGTTTTGAGCCTAATTAGTCCATGTTTGAACACTATTTGCCAAATAAAAACGAAGGTGCTACAGTAGTCCCAAAATCCAAATTTCGCAAACTAAACAAGGGCTAAATATATGCATCTATGGTACAGTATATCAGCCTGTTCGCTTGTTGGTTTCAGCCATAGCTTATCAGTCATGATACAGTGTTTTTCTCTCACAGCAAACCAGTACCAGCCGGGCTTATCAGCCTATAAACCAATCAGCGAACAGGTTGTATATATTGGACACAATTAATCTGCACACACAAGTGATTGGATCCTATGTATGGGTCTTGTTCGCTTCGCTGAAAAGTCAGGCTAAAAAATACTGTTCGCTAAAAGTATTATTCATTAATTCGTTGTGAGAGAAAAATATTATACCATCACTGACAAGTTCAAACGAACATGGCCTTGAACATGTCTGAAGAGAAACGAATAATCCTGGTAAATTTGCACCCTGGCAAGCCGATGGGCGATGGCTGAAAAGGTAGCTCAGCGTGCCGCCCTAATTTTTTTTTTGTTCACGAGGAAATCCTGCAGAAACCTGGGCACGCAGTGCTGAAGCAGAAGCAGAAGCAGCAGGCAGCGTTGGTCCACAGGGACCGTGTGCCTGCCACGGCTGCGCAAGTAGGCTGTTCGCTTGCTCGTAAATTTTCAGTCAGGAATTGTGTTTTTCTCTCATACCAAATCAGTTAGCAGTAAATAATCCACGATATGATACGGCCTCCTGAACATGCTGATGGAGATGGAATGGCCGGGACACCGCGCTGTCACTGTTGTGAGACCAGCGACCAGGCCAGAGCCCCCACGCAGACCGGGGAAAGTGGCGGTGGGTGCCCGGTGCCGCGACGACGACTGTTCGTGGGGGCGGCGCAGCGGATGATGAAAGCTTCAGATTTTCAGAAGTAGAAGAGCAGCAAAAGGCCACCCCCTGTTGTTTGTTTCCTCCTTGTTCTCTAGCTCACCAGCCCGCGCCAGCAGCCCCTTCCAATTGCTGACCATGCATGCCGATGCCGGTGCTGGCTGCACCGCTGCTGTGCTGTAACAAAACTGCTCAACGCTGTGCTGTGCCCCTTGCAAGTTGCGATCTGAGCACAAGCTTGCCCGCCTTCCATTTCCATCCATCATACAGATGCATGGCCCTCAGCTTTTTGTACCGTACCTGCTCAAAGTGATGATTACATGCTGTGAGGCAACTTAGCTCCTCCACTCTCATCTCCGTGCATCATCATGTTGCCCTCCTCCTCTCTTCCGTACTCCTATCTAAATTTACAAAATGAATTGCCATTACTATTAGGCTCACACAATTGAGTGTGAAAAATGTAGGGCGTGTTTGGTTGACCACCCAAACTTGCCGCACCACGCCGCAGCTTCCACACCCAAGTTTCGGCCTGCAATTGGTTCCTTTCCAAACTTGTGGCATGCCGCACAGCCCTTTTTTTTTTTTGCGATCGGCATGCCGCACAGCCTAGCCATCGCATTCTAGTTCAATTTGTGCGTCAAAAGCTGTTGCAGTTGGGGCGGACGATTTGGTTGCCGCAGTTTTGGCGCGGCCACAACTACGGTGTGGCATGCAGTGGGCGCCAACCAAACACGCCCGTAGAGTTGAGATTTTAGGCTTTCTTTGGAACATGCATGAGAGTTCGTCTCGACGTACTCTTGGTCTTGGTAGCCTAGTAGGTGTTGTAAGGGAATATTTTTCAATATTCACTTCTAAGATACCTGCATAGTGCGCTAGCATAATCTCTATATAAAAATACAACTCCTGCTAACCATCCATCCCTTCGTGCCTGAGTTAAGTTACATGTGGTTGGATCGACGTGCATAACAAAAGGAAATGGAGTACGGAGTGTCCCAAGAAGCTCCTACCAAATGGTAAAATCTCTAGACACAACTTGTTGGGACCATGATTACCCAAACTTCTGTGCACAGAAAGATAGGTGTATACAGTATCAAATCAAATATTAAAAAAAGGAAAGAAAGGTAGGTGTATACTACGTAAACAAGTTGGGGATGCAAATGTAAAATACACAACGACTCACTCACCTCAACCTGCCGTTTTTTTTTTGGCAAGGTTTATTACCCACGTAAACAGCATTACTGCCTGCCAGCAATAAATAATTCATGTTAAAACCCAGCACTTACCATTATAAGCCCTCGTAATCCTCTCTTCGTTGCGCCCTCTCTCTCTCTCTCTCTCTCCTCCATTGAAGAAGATAGAAGAGCACCGCTATTTAACAACCTTCGCGTTACCGCCCCAAAACCTTATTCTCTCTCTCTCTCCCTCCGTCCCTCCCTCTCCCTCTCTACCCACCTCGGGCAATTGCACCCCCTCCAGGCCTCCACCAACAACGACGAGAATTCGATCCCAATTTACAGCGCCGTCAATCAAGTCCGTCGGTAATTCGAGCCGGGAGCGGCAATGGCGTCGCCCGACGACGAGGGTCTCCCGGCGCTGCCTCCCATCAAGACGACAACGACACCTCTGCAGCCCCCGGCGCCGTCGTCCGCCACGGCCTCAGCCTCGACCTCTCCGTCGCCGGCGTCGTCGTCGGCGGTGGACAGCGCGAAGGGCGCGGAGGAGGAGGAAGAGGATCACGAGCCGTCGACGCCGACGTCGGAGGGGAGCAGGCTGCGGTCGCCCGCCGAGTGCCCGCCGGCCCCGCGCAAGCCGCCGGCGCCGCGGCTGCCCGTGAAGCGGAAGCCGCCGCTGCCCTCGCCCGCGCCCGCGCGGGTGTTCGTCGCCGTCCCGCGCGACCTCTCCACCGTCTTCCGGGCGTTGCCTCCCAAGAAGCGGATCCGGGTGTCGTGATGCTGCGATCTGCTGGCCGTGATTTGCCACTGGCTTCGTTCCCAGGCTTGGTCGATTTCTTCTTGGAGAATTCTTCCGAGTTCTTGGCCTTCTTCTTCCCCCCTCTACTCTTTTCTTTTCTCCTTTGGGTTACTGCAACCCACGGGCCACGGCCATAGTATAAATTAAATTATAATTCTCGGTATAAATAACGTCTTTTTTGCGTGTTCATTTTTCTTTTCTTTTCTTTTTTTGTGGTGCTAGTGTGAGCAAGAATTTGTAGCTCTAGAGATGAATTGCTGTTACTGAATGGAAGCAGTTCAAAGAAAAAAAAAACTGTAGCAAGAATTCACACTGATCTTGTAAATTATGATACCTGCCAGAACTATTTATCATAACCTGAGTTTCGCTTCCTGCCGAATCTGTAAAATTGTTTGGGAATTCAGCCATTAATTAATTGTAGACCATAATTCAGTGGATATATGAAGCAGCGCGCATGAAGCCATCACCACGGTGACAAAACTGCTAATTTGGGTTGGGTAGATCCACCATTTCTTACAACAAGACATCCGAGTCCGAGAATTGTTAATTGCGAGATAATCATCCTGTGACCAGTTTGAATTTTTTCGAACTTACTTTACTGAATGCTCTCGGCAGTGGACGGATTAGATACCCTGCCCATCAAATCAATTCGGCAAAAGAAAATGGCTCTGATGGCGAGTGTACTTTTGGTTGTGTTTGTCCGAACGCAGGAGAGAGAACAGACAGAGCGAATCTTCCATTGATCATCAGGGACACGACATGATTTTTTTCTTCCCATTTCTCTCTAATCAGTTTCCATCACTCTTTGCAGGGTAAAAACCTCTCTGGAGATGCTCTAATTTCCCAATCCGTCTCTCTGCTCTTGTCTATAAGCGCCAAAACTAACTGTTCATTGAGCTCTTGCTCTTTCCATGCACACAAGGCACTCAGCTCAAGCTTTGTTTTTTTACTACTCGTACCCTATACTACAGTAGTATGAACTATCGTATCACACATTCACAGCTGAGATATGACAGGAAAATCTGAGCAGAATCCAAGCTCACAAGTTTCAAGAACATGCAGCTGATGGATCATGACAGAGGAAAAGACCAGGCAACAAATTTTCCTCTCAGGGCCTTTGTCTTTGTGCTACATTGGTCACAGTCCACATCTACTAGCTCACAAGTAGTAGTACAGTTCACAGTTCAGCCATATATACACCTTGCATGGCAGCAGAACACACACGGTTCAGGTAGCAACACTCCAAGTGCCCTATATATCCTGATGAAAACTGTGAATTCCCATATGGACTTTAGTCGGTAAAATCCAAGCCAAGCCACAGAGAGATGCTTCTAACCACATTGGTGATCCCAACCATTTGCATATGGTACCGGCAGTGCACACTACTACTATTTCTCAGGAACAAAACTCTTGCTGTTACTACAGGAAAGTTCAGTTCACCCAGCATGGCTTTGTGTCTCTAGAAGAAGATGATGAGAAAATGCTGAGATGATGCCCTGAGCCCCTACTGTCTCCACCAATCGCGATCCAAAATACAAAATTATTCGTCCTTTGGGTAGCGCTACAGGTAAAGAGTTCAATACATATTTTTGGTCTTCTCCAACAACAAGACTCAAAAGACAACCATTTCTATAAATGGGTCTCCAGGAGAGAGGATACTTAGATTTGGGTTATACCTCTCCTGACACTTAAAATGGGTCTTCTATATAGGTATTATGTTGGAGACTATGGAGACTTATTTTAGGTTTAGGTTCCTCAATAAATTTACCGTTGGAGATAGCCTCACCGTGAGGGAGGTGAGAGAGAGAGAGGAAGTTGAGAGCAGAAAAGGCTCCCTCACATCACATGGGTTGTTACTTGCAGTTACGGTCAGTGCTCTTGCCTCAGGAACAGAACAGGTCGCCCGGGCACTTATCCCAGGATGACGCGAGGGATCAGGGCTTGGAAAACCGTTCTATCTGTTACTCCTGCATTCCTGCATCTTCAGTTTTTATTTTTCACCTGCGGTAGAACCTGCTACTGTGGTCAGCACAAGGAATGTCTCCAAATAAACCTATTACCTCTCTTTTTTCCGCGTGTAAAAATCTGTCCCGGCTAGTACTCCGTACGCGGCTAGCTGATACTAACCCCGAGAAAGATACCATTTTTTCTGATTTGATTGATGTTTATTTTGGGCACTTGACTCTGTCACTAGAATGTGGGCCCAGACAATAGCAAATGGCTAAAATGATAAGGAGTAGTAGTACTACTAGCTAGTGTGACTGAGAGTGTACGTCCCTAGCTAGTGGTAAAAGAAAAACATTTTTTTCTTCAGTCCCTTCCACCCTCGAATGAAACTGTGGATGATGGCAACACCCTGAGTACAGAAATTCAGGGTGCATACTTGGATTTTCCAATGAATTAAACAGAGGTAAATCGTAAATGTGAGGTTGTGAAGTCAAGCGGGCAAGCACGTACTACCTGCCCTACGCATGCAAGTAAGGCATGTTTGTTTCTCGTGGCAAAACATTTTTTTGATAAATGGATCCAAACAGGTAGATTAAAAGTGAGTAAAAGGTGAGGCTAAAGTTGAGTCCATTTGCATTTTAAGAGGTGCAAAACTGAGATAAAAGTATGAGGGTGTGAATGACATCTTATTTTATACTTTTAGCCTATTTTTTTCATAGATCCAAACACCCAAGCAAGAACTAAAGTTTAGCAGAAAAAATTTAGAGACTAACTTTTGCGGACCGCGGTAAATGATTTTTTTCCTGCATGGCTGGCTTCTCAACGGACAACGGGTATGTATGAAGTAAATTCACTTGCCAACCAACCGTTGGCTCTCCACATTTTTCTCTTCAGGTAACAGTAGAATCCAAGGCTAGACAACGGGTATATGCGTACTGGCGGCGAGGTAAATATGCGAAGGACTCCGTCTTCCTTTTTTCCACGCCCCATTGATTTACCCAAGTAATGCTTGCTCCCGTTTTCACGCCAATTACAGTCCCTGCGATTTTTTAAATTCCGTTTCGTGCTATGACATGATGTCAGTGTGTAGCAGCTGCAGGGCCATGAAGATTTTGCGTAGTGCTGGGTGGAAGAATTCATTGACCCTCTCTCACAGCTAGCATTGTTGGCAAGAGGACCTTAGTCTTAGTTCATCATCGCACAGCGTTTGAAACTAACCTTTTGGTAGGTGTTTAGAAACGGATTTCGAGCAACCGTGATACATGTAAAAAATGACTGTCAACATATGTAGCATCAATTATGTTCAAATCATTCTAATTTTGGTCCCAGCAGAAATGTGCGCTCTGTCAGTCCTGCCAGCTGCAACATGTCCACTCACCTCGTTCAATAATAATAGCTCGCCCCATTATTAGACAACTCCCTCCAAAATTGTTTTTCGAAATTACAAAAGCTCCAGCCAAAAAAATGGCATGACAAATCGAAAGATCTTTTTATTTTTTTCTCGAAAGATCAGCATGACAAATCAAAACTGCTGTAACAGTGCGTGGCAATGATTACGGGAATATAAACAATCTCACCTTCTTTTGTCGGAATCCGGATCACTCTCAGTCTCTCACTGAGAGTTGCAGTTGCTGGCTGCCGTTTTGGGGTCGACATGCATTTGCTTCGATTCGCGTCAATAATCTCTTCTCATTTCAGAAAAGAAAGAAAAAAAAAGGAGAGCCGATCGAACGAACACCAGTTAATTTGGATGCTCGTGTGTGTACGGTTTGCCTGCCCTTCTCTTCCGGTTAGCTTTGAGCAGCAGCAATTGCAGCAGTAAAACATGAAGACAGGCAGGCAGCTGCACGTACAGTAGCTCCACATGACTGTCCACCCAAAAAAAGATTTGGGCTGCTAATTCGCGGATCCAAATGGCCGCTTTAACCCAGCCACACCACACCAACCAGTCCTCTTCATCTGCACTGCAACGGTACGGTTTGGCCGCTAGGAAATATTGTAACCCCCTCTATTGCCGGTCCAAAAAAACACAAGCTTTGTTAATGTTCACTAACCACCTTCCTGGCTCTTGCTAGTTGCCAGGACACAAACCAGTAGGCAGTACCTACCCAAGGTATACCGTGGAAAACTGGAAATTTTGCCCAAGGTACCGTGTACCTTGCTGGCCAGCAGCTTCAAAGTACGGTAACTTTATAAATTTAGTTTTTTTTTACACCCAAGTACCCAACATACCTTGTCCATTCTGTTATCTAACATAATGAGCGCAGCAAAAAGAAGAAGAAGGAGGAGGAGGAGGATTTGGAAGCAGTAGTATCAGAGGATTTGATTTGGAGGTAAAAAGTTCAAACTTATTCTGACGACACTGTACATCTTCCAAGCTGAGAAGATGTTTTGTATATGCTTTGATGTGTACTGACGCATAATTTTATTGTCTCTTCAACTGCACAGTGCACGCCAAAAGGGCTCCTCCAAATGGCGCGCAGCACTAGCGGCTAATGAGGTGCGAGCCCGTGTGTGTGCTTACCTACGGGTCCGGATCCGGACGGGTGCAGCGGACACCAGCAAGATCCAGCAGACAGCAGCCGTCGCTCTCGATCTGGGCCCCGCTCGTCAGGCTTCCATTCCTTTCTTCAGACAACGAACCTGATGCTGTGTATGTTCAGTCGTCAGTGCGATCCGCTACGACAGATTGAAATAAACGACTGATTTGCCGTCATTGTGATCTTGTGACGATATTTAGAGAAGAAGGACGTTTTTTTTTAACATCCTTATTATTGTCACGACGTGAGTGTTTGGTTATGAATTCTCCTACTTGAATAGTAACGGCCCGTTCGATGTCATCAGGAAACGTAAAGCTAGCACACAGAGATGATGATGATCAAGTACATCATCGCCACGGACCAGTCGACCGGATTGGATCGATTTTTCAGAGGTAACGAGAACGCATGATGATGACGATAAGTAGTGCGAGCCTTGGCATGCAAGCAACGTGATGGATGCTGCTGCTCCAGCTCTTTAGGCTAAGCTAGCTTTTGACCGCTAACGAATCGAAGCCTAGCTTTTGTCCACAGCAAGGAATGGCTTAGTGTGTGTTTAGTTTGCGAAATGAAAATTTTTGGATGTCACATCGGATGTTTTAGATGTTGGAAGAGGTTTTCGGATACTAATAAAAAAACTAATTATATAGCTCACCTAAAAACTGTGAGACAAATTTATTAAACCTAATTAATCCATTATTAGCGCATGTTAGTTACTGTAGCAATTGTGGCTAATCATGGACTAATTAGTCTTAAAACATTCGTCTCGCGATTTCCAACCAAACTGTACAATTAGTTTTTTTTCGTCTATATTTAATACTTCATGCATGTGCCGCAAGATTCGATTTGATAGTTTGGGGTGAAATTTTTGGAAACTAGACCAGCCCTTGAGATGCCGACGTGACGTACGGTAGCCATGCATCGGCGGCCCAGCTGGATGGGTAGATAAATCAGGGAATGCATTCCCGAAGACGATTGTTCTGCATGCATGCTTGCTTGCTTTCCGCATGCATAGCATAGGCGTCCCCAATCCTACGCCACTGGTGGGACCCATCGTTGTCGACTGTCGACCGAGCGATGCAACGCCGCCGGCCGCCCGGCACCGGGATGATGATCCATGCATCTTTCCTTCACCACTTCACCACTTCACCAAATCACCTGCAGACCAGCTAGCTGATCTGATGAGGTTGAAAGGGCGAGACGGCGAGACCAGGCCGCACGCCGCCTTGTGCCCAACACGCTTGCGGCTTGCTTCGGGATTATTACAATTTTATACGCCTATATTAAATTAGTTTATTAGTCGCGCGCGAGCAAAAGGCTACGTGCGCTCAGGGTTCAAAATTTCGGCGAAATTTCGGCCGAATTTCACGAAATTCAGTAATTTCGGTGGTGGCCAAAAGAAAACTCCGAAATTTTTTAATACACTAATACATGTGCTATATAACTCTAGACTTATATTTTTCTATTGTTTATATTGTATATTCTTCTATTCAATAGATATGTAGTCATAAATCATACTAATATTTGTTTAGATCCAATTTTTTTAGAAAAAACATACTTCATGTGCTAATCTCTAAAAAAAATCGGCGAAATTAGGTAATTTCGGTGGTGGCCAAAATTTTGACAATACCGAAATTAAAAACCTTACGTGCCCTAGCTAGCTCGCTCGTGTACTGCCGGGATGATCTCGCCCGGCGCCGGCAGTGCTGGCCGGCCGGGCCGACAGCCGCGTGCGTGAGGGGGACGAAGAGCTAGCGGATCGATCGATGGAGTGACCGTGCAACGCCCGCGCGCGTCTAATCGTCGATCGGCGACTGCGAGAGAAAAAAAAGGGGGGCCGGCGGCCGGCCGGCCGGGGCCGTTGATTTTCTGCTCGCGCACGTACGGGCCGGCCGGCCGCCGCCTTGAATACACACACACCTACAGCTAGCCTACAGGGGCTACAGCATGCAGCGCGATCGTCGCGCCTGGTTCCGGTCCTCGTGTGTGAGTGCACGGTGAACCCGGCCGGCCGCGTATCTGATCTGTGGCGCACGTGTAGTGCCATGCTTTAATCTGTCTGTCTGTCTCGCGGACCGACAACATGACACGGCCCGTGGGTGACCCCGCACCCACCAGAAGCTAGAAAACGGCCGCCGGGGATCGTCGATCGGGAGTTAATTGAAGACGATCGTCGACAGCTCCTGCCTCCGCAAGGACGAGCACGAGCTCCGATCCAGCGATGGAGATCGAGGAAGCTAGCTGCTACGTACGGCGAGCCAATTGCATTGGCTGTGTCATCTGCCGCGCGCAGCAGACGCGCGCGCACGGTTATTAGCTAGGTGGCCGGCCGGCCGGCCGGCCGGCACACCACCGGGCGTACAGCAGGCCGCCGGCCGGCCAGGCGTGTAATGAGCAATGAAACGTTCCGTGGAACGACGATATGGAACGGCACAGGAACGTAACAGATGATCGTGTAGCGCGTGCTGTCATCGACCGAGATCGATCAGTGTCGTCATTGCACATGGAACGTACCGGATGAGCACCACATAAGCCTCGTGATCCCTGCACGCGGTACACTGTTATGGAAAATGGTGCATATATGCAAAGAAGGCAGCGCCTGTCTTTCGGGCCGGAGAAGAAAGCCTCTTGCTGCTGCTGCCGCCATTTGGAAACACAAGGATATATTCTGGCGTGTCGACGACGGGTGTGTACGGCGGGGCAGCCGTGACGAGTACGCATTCCATCTGATCTCGATGATAAGGCTTTAGAAAAGAGGTCGTATTCCGCATCATTACGACAGACAAATCGCGTATATGCTACTACCTCACGCCGGTGTGATATGATTGTCACGCGCAGCAGCCACTCATCAGCCGATTCAATCATTTCTTCCAGGTCTTAGATCTAGATTTCTACTAGTAGAAAGACTAGAAGATAAACTACAGGTCGACCAGAGACCCAGTTGTATAATTGAGCAACTGACGGAATTCTATTTTTCAGCTCTGTGCACCAGCACTGTTCTAAAAGTGCAGTTAGTCACACAGGCCATTGCAGTGCTTCTTCAGTCCTACTGCAGTGGCCACCGGGACAGGAGAGGCATAGTAGCATCTGCCCATCAATTCAGATTTCAGAGTGTTAGCAGGCAGCCCACATATGCAGTGACTGCTGTGCTTTTTCCCCCTGATGTGGCAAATACTGGCTTCCAGGTCTGCTAGATCTACCATCAGTCCACTCTGATAGCATTGGCATCAGAAGGGCAACTGAAACATCGCAGATGCGTCGCGCATGCTACAGACTGCAAAACAAGAGAATGGTTTCATTTCAGTGCCAGAATTTGATCCCAAATGACCTGCTACGGCCCAACCATCACCAGCATCAGAACCTGACATATGTGTCCAAGTGGTAGCTTCAGGTTCAGTTCACCATATAACATTGGCACAACAAGCCCTAATCAGTCAAGTTTCGCAATCTTGGGTGACATACAGGTAGGGGTCCTGATCTGGTTGTGGGCAGTACAAATCATCTGCTGCTGGCCACGACAGTGCCGCCATTGGGGCTTCCTCGCCATCGTCGACGGCGACGAACTCTTCGTCGTCGTCCAAAGTTAGTTCGGCAAATGGTGCATCTAGGCTCTCCCAGTTCAGGTCGTCTCTGCAGAGAAGGCTAGGTTCTTCACTGACCCATTCATCCAAGACATCAATGTTGTCCAGGCTGATAGGATCTATGGAATCCTTAAGCTTACGCAGGTTCCTGCATGACAGCACTGAAGTGTAAGCAGCAAGTTAGGATGGTATACGTATATGATGTGGTTCCAGTCTTTGTACCTTTCTTGGAGCTTCAGATTGTACCTAACAAAGACAACATCACTTAACCTTGAACGCTCAAGCCTACTTAGCTTCCTGGAATGGAGATCTTTGAATGTATCCCAGCTCCTTTCGCACCCTGTTGCGCTGCAACATTGGCTGAGGACTCGGATTGCAAGCCTTTGAAGTTCTATAGTTCCATTACCAAAGTTGTCCCACCATGCAACTAAAAATAAACAATTATGTGACAACGTGAGATTAATGTATCCAGGCAAATATAATTCCATGGAAATTGGATTTTTTTTCCAGTTTTATTTAGGAAAGAGTAAATTTAAAGCACACCAATATTTGGCCTAATAATAGTCACAGACCAATGGAATACTTTCTGTTGCTATTTTACAAACCCAACAATACCTGGGGCCATTTGCGGATCTAGGGAGTGACGATGGTCCACGGTCCACCCCAAAAATCCTCGGCCCAAGGCCCAGGTATGGGGAAAAAGAACTCATGTGAGGTGGGAATACTGGTATTGTAATCTTCTTCCAACTAATGTAGCCATGTAAGCTTCTTTTAAGTCAAATTTCATACTTAACTGTTGATTTTAAGATGTTTGTAAGACACCTTTTTAATCTATCTTAACGTGCTTTAGTAAATTCTGTACTCATATTGTATATTGGCACGTTACAATTTGCAGTACTTAAACCATTTATATCAAGTCATACCCAAAATCCTACATACGCCACTGGCTTCTTCCCATAAAACTGCAAATTTTGCCACTCGCTTTTTCCTACCCACCTGGATCAGTGGGAGGAAAAAGAAAACAGAACATATTTCCGCTTGCCACCTCGACTGGGTCCAGGAGAATTCTTCATTGTTATCCTCATCATCATATACTAGATTAATTTCACTCACAAAATTTAAAAATCAATTACGTTAATGCAGCATATACCCTGCCTGGCAGCCAAAATGGGTTGCCTTTTGGTGTGTCCCTGTGACATGTGGTACCAGGTAGACATGAAATGGAGTGAAGCAAAATGTTGTAGTTCTATGAGCAAGCCTCAATTATTGATGGGTTTGTGACTATTGGTATCTTTATGTAATTTACTCTGTAGGAAAGTTCAAAACGAAACAGTAGCAACGAGTCTCATAACATGGAAGTCATTCTTACCGGGATTAAGTTTCTCTCTTTGACGAATTGCAATTGGAAGGCCAAAGTCACCAGTTGATTTCTTATACTCCTCAAGCTGAAGAAATATCTTATCTTGGACATCGTCATCAGGGACCAAACTAGTGATTGTCTTAATAAGGCCCCTAAATGCATAGCTTTGCATCTTAAAAGAAGGGCTAAAGTAAATACAAGGATTGAAAAAGCATCCTGCTGCATGCAACGGGCTATGGAGCTGCTTCTCCATCCTCGCATCAATTACTCGCACATATGGCCCATACAGACAGGCCTTGTGCATCATCCTTGCCCTTATTGACTCCTTTGCCTTTTCCATTGCATCATAAAGATAGCCCATGGAAGTTTTTTCATTACTATCCACCAAGCGCAGAACACACAACAGGGGCTCAGTGACCTTAACAACATGTTTGCTCTTGGTCCAGAAGTCAACATCTTTCATAATAATAGCTGTGACATCTTTTCCAACACCACCTTTAGCATACGTTGATTTCACCCATTTGTTGCTGGTAACCATTTGGCGGAGTTCTTTCTCAAATTTAACAATGCTTTGGAGACTAAGAAAATGAGTAGCAAATCTCGAGATGCCAGGACGACACAGATCTCTACCATTTGTGAACTCTTTCCTCATTAAAGACAAAACCCAAGCATGATTATATACAAACTTTGTTATCTTTCTGGCTTTACCTAAAGTTTCATTGATCATAGGAAAATATCTAGGATCAGCGAAATTCTCCAACATCAAGTCAATGCAACGCGCTGCACATGGAGACCAAACAAAAGTGCCATATCTTTCCTCCAGAACCTTAACAGCAACCTTATATCTTGCATCTATGTCAGTGATAAATTGAACAATGTTTTGTGACCCAACTTCTCTAATAACTTGATCAAATATCTCAAGTAAATCAGATTTCTCCGTCGAAGTATCTACTGACTTTAAAAACATAGTACCTCGTGGGCAGTATACAAGAAAATTGATTATAGAACCCTCTCCATAGTCCTTTTGTCTGTCAGCAATAATTGAGCAACCATGTAAGCTCCATTCTTTCTTTAGATCATCCAGATATTGACGAATGTCTTCAGCAATTTGTTTTAATAATGGATTACGTAGGTCATGATAAGATGGTCCCTTGAAGCCCAGTCCAGCAGATATTATTGCTTCTAGCATAGGCTGATAGAAAGGAGAATTCGCTGCACTAAAGGGTACATCTGCATCATACCACCATCTAGCCATAGCAATTATAGCTTCATGTAACAGATCATTTGGAGCTTCTGTACCATCTACACCATGTTGAAGTTGAACCATGTCTTCTGAAGTCATAAATGTGCCACTGCTTGGCTCTGAACCCGTGGTAGTTTGCGGAGGAAAGTATCCTGTTCTTCGCTTCCTTGATGGTCTGAATAGGCTTTCAGAGCCTCCCTCGGTTGAGAAAATAGCATCTGAAGAATCTTTGACGCGTGACCTGCGGGCATCTCTAGTTTCATACCTTCTTTCTTCATTTCTCCACTTCTCATCAATTTGTTGTATTATCAGACGTTTCACGTCATCAGGCACCTTCTTGCAAGATTCAACTTGGCCTGGAACTCCAGCAAGATGATATTTAAAGCGAGTAATCCCGCCGCCTCCAATCTTTTTGCCACAATGAAGACATATGATGGCATTTCTTGAACTGGCATCCACTTTTGCGTGAACCCAAGCAGGATCCAGTGGCCTCGAAGAAGCTGAAGGTGATGCCATCAAGGTGACTCCAGTTGATGCGGTACCAGCTACCTCAGTTCTAATAAAGACAGAATAAAAAAATTATTTTAGAACTATTACCAAACATGAAACATCAATTGTGTACCATTACACATTTGTTCCATGATTAATCAAAGATTACAAGAGCACTACACTTTTCATAGGATAATAACTCCAGCAGAGCACATATCCAGCAAATAAGCTGAACACTCTTTCATTTTATACACAGTCTACTACGCATTTGTTCAAATTAAAAAAAAACAAATGAAGCTAGTAAAAATATTTATATATGTGTTCATTGCACAGCCTAGGATACAGCACGCAAAATCGAAGTCTGGAACACCACAAAAAGTGTGCAGTCCTTCACTTGTGGACCCGTGGGGTTAACTATGGTGGCTTTATTTAGGCCTTGTTTAGATTGCAAGTTTTTTCACTCTCTCTCCATCACATCAAATTTTTGGACACATGCATGGAGTATTAAATGTAGATAAAAAAAAACTAATTATACAGTTTGATTGTAAATTACGATACGAATCTTTTGAGCCTACTTAGGCCATGATTAGACAATAATTGTCAAATACAAACGAAAGTACTACAGTGCCAATACTGATTCCTAACCCCAGTCTAATCAATCCCTTACAAGGTTAGGCTAGGAAAAGAAAAACAACAACCTGATGACTCAAGGCGTTTCGCTGTAATTAGAACCAGTTACAGCTTAGAAGCAATGCAGCCAAGATTATATAGTCCACGACTACTCCGAACTTGCGAACAATCCAGGCGGTATCCGGCGATACCTGACCGCGCGTGATGAAAACCGGCCGGTTTCGAAAAAATCCGATGAAAACTTGAGCACTTTTTTCTGGTATGAAATACACAAGCTACTGGAAAAGTACAGAATTGAGGTATAGAATAGTGTACACAGCCTCGCCTCTCTTTAGTCATCAAGCGGTCGAAGTCGCCAAGGTCGAAGGCTTCGTCCTTGGGGGCGAGCTCCCCCAGGCGGCAGATCTGGTCCGCTAGGTCGGAGAGAAGGAAACCGGCGGGAAGCTGTGAGGAGTCGGGCGAGAAACCGGAAGTCATCCACAGCGGTGCTGTTGGGTTTTGGGAGGACTGGGGAATGGCCGAATAGCCGGGGTCAGGGTGGGGCTGGACCTGGACGGCGGCTACCGGAGAAGATCGGCGAGGTTTTCGTGGAATCGGGCGGCTGCCGCGGCGGTTTCCATCGGGGGTGGGCCGGTGGGCTACCCAATATAGTCGTGTATTTGCGGCCTTGCGGGCGGAAGCAGGTTTGTACAGCCCGTTCGGCTGGGGCTGGTTGGCCGGCGAGCCCTCTCAGATGGCCACATGGGCACTATTCATATAAACCAGCTAGCAGTACTTCTTTCTCACATAAGTGAACCAGCAACGATATGAACTAGCTAATCGAACAGGCTGTGCTTCTCACTCATAAATTTGAAGAATACTATATTATTTTTCTAATATTAGGGCTTAACCAAATTATTATAATTTAAACTATACATAGAATTATTATAATTAGGATTATGAATTATAATCGGAGTGTTTGTATCTTTGGAGTATTTTGATAGATCAAATAGGGTCTTAGTTCAATAGTATCATTTTTAGGGCCTGTACAACTTAAGGAAGCTAATAGGCCTCTAATGATCGTACGCAATCTAACTCACCCATTTTTAGCTCAAACACATACTCCAAACAAATTCAGCACATATTTTTTGAGGCCCGATTCTTATATTTTGTAGACCAACATTCAGGAACCCATCATGGCAACAAATATACCAGTAAAATATAAAAGACATACAACAAATAAAAGTAAAACATCAATTTTATATCAGTTGATGGGGTAATATAGACTTTTACTTCATTTAGGGCAATATTTTGCATCGGTCATACCGAAATATGTTGAACAATGTCCCTGACAGAGCCCTGATTCAAAACATTGGTCGAGTTTATTATAGTTGCTATCCCAAGTCCATAAAAAGATTACTGAGGACAATTTGGCAAAAATCCAGGGATAACGTGGGGCCCTGATCACCTAAAACTCCATCAGATGGAGTAACCAGCTGAAAAAAAGGAACTCATGCTATTGATTCTTTCAGAGCAAATGTTAAAATGTTACGCAAATAGGTGAAAGGAAAATGCTCTGGTTCACCACCCTTCATCTTCTAGAGTTCAGGTTGGCATTCATGTTGGTGGCTGCCAAGTCCCTGGCTTGAAAGTGGCACCGGTTCCTGTTGGTTCAGATGACCTGAAGACAAATAAACACGAGCTTGAAATTAGAATTAATGTAATCAGACGAAGACTCGTGCAAAAGAAAAAACAAAGATAAAGACAATAGTAGATTGTTGTTTCTCATGCAGCTCCTATATCAGCTGCAGCCATGAATAAATCGATGCACTTTCAATACTTCTGCAATACCCAAATTGAAGTTTGACCGAGGTGTCCAGAACGTATTGTCAGATCCAGTAAAAATTACCATAAAAAAAAGAGCGTGCCCAGTGCAGAGAGCTCCCGCTCTGTGCGGGGTCCGGAGAAGGGTGTTAGTGGCAAGCCTTACCCTCGCCTGTGCAATGCGAGGAGACCGTGACTCGAACCCGGGACCTTCCGGTCATAGGCGGTAAGACTCTACCGCTTGCACCAGGCCTTACCATGATATTATAATATCCAACTTTAAAAGTTGAACTTCATTTCTATATTTAAGTTTGGTAAATTAACTTTATCCTCGTGTACACGGGCATGCACCCACACGATGCTTTAAACATAAATTAACAGCATAAATGTTTTACTCCCCGTTGTTCCAAATTATAAGACGTTTTGGCTTTTCTAGATACATTACTTTTATTATGTATACATACTTCTTTTTTTGTGACTCTATGTATACAGACATAGTGTATATCTAAGTGAATAGCAAAAGCTATGTACCCTAAAAAGGCCAAAACGTCTTATAATTTGGGATGGAGGGAGTACCACAGAAGATTGCAAAACCATGCCGAATGTTTGAAGGCAGATAAAAAGCAAAAGGCAGGCACAAGAGCATACAGTTGGCCATTGATGGTACTATTTACTTAAATAAAATGGCTACAGAGTAAATATCATGTCATCACAATAACAAAAAACATTCGCAGAAAGAACTTTGAGATGGAATGCACCTCTCATTGTCTGTCGTAGCATCTTCTGTATGAGTTGAGTCCTTAGGCCTAGATACCTCCTCAAGTCCTAAAGTGTTAACTAAAATGTCATCATGCATTTCAAAAGTAGTCGCACTTATATTCCCAGAGAGAAACATAGTTAAATAAGGTAATGTTACCTTTCTGCTGATCTGGAGTACCAGAAAACTGCTGCTTCACGAAACTTTGGAGATTTGGAGATTCGGCTTTCCCTGAATTTGGAGGAACATCAGCAGTCAAACAATCAGGGGAGAGAAAAGAAAGCATTATGAGATTTCTTTCCCCTTCACCAACACAACACGGAGAAACTACAATGGAAAATTAACTGATAATATGAGGAATTGTATAACTGTCAAGTATCACGACAGGGTATCAAATGATGTCAAAATATCATATCCCTTTTGTGGTAAATATATTACAAATTCCACTTTCATCTCTTACCCACTCTTTTCTTTTTGTTTCTCTTATATATCTAATTATATTAGATATATAAGAGAAACAAAAAGAAAAGAGTGGGTAAGAGATGAAAGTGGAATTGTGATACAGGAAGCATACTAAACAATCCACAGAAAGCTGTAAGTGCATATAAGCAAGTATTGAAGTACAAGGCACCAGAAAGAACGTACCAATTTTCTTGACTAGTCGGGTACCGGTTTTTCTTTCCTCTTCTTCTTTCTTTTTGAGAACTTGATTGAACACATAGTGGAGAAAAACACAGATTATTGGCCATCAAACTAAAAAAAGATGACAGCTTTATGAATAACCAAGGCTAATGCAAAATTACATGCACGAGGATCTTGATTCTTGAAAGAAACAAAACTTAAAAGAAGCTGTGACACCATAATAGCAAACATATGCTGGTACGAATAGGATCTTTTACTGCACTACAAGTCTGCAACTAGAATGAAAGCTTCATAGCTGCAAACGTATCCAGTACATTATATTGTAACAACTGTTCTCTAATAAAAATTAAGGCCATAAACAATAGGACAGCACTTCCAACATGTTTTCCATGGATGAATTTAAATAGATATAGCAGGCATCACCGCATCATCGAAATTTGGCTCATGAGTAGGCATGCAAGTTTTGCTTTCTTTGGGACATCAGATCAACCCAATACTCAATTGAACTAGTCCAGATTTCAAAGGAAATGAAGTGAGATAAAAATTAACTAGCAGACTGACCCACAACTACTTGGTGTCAGCGCTTGAATCCCTAATCATGAGGTTAACAAACCAAATTTTAAGTGCATGACAACGAAAGCTATCCTGTTACTTTTCCAACCACCAATCACACCCCACAACTGAATATCAACGTTAACCTTCTAATTCATGGATGGAATGCTTGCAAAGTTGTAATAGAGATCAAAGTTTGCAAGTGATCATGTTTCATCCAACCTTGTTGAGGATTCCTGGCACAAAATATGATACAATTTCTATTTACAAAATAAGAATTTAGCATCAAATACAAGAAACACATATATCTGACCAGCATTTTATTCCATTTCTCTTAGTTTTATCCAGTGAATGGTATGGAAATTAGCATAGAGTGCATACGATGATACATATTGGCTACCATAAAGTAGTTGAGGCAATTAGCATGGATTACTCAACTGCCAATGCCTATGAAAAAATGTTTGGACTCTTGCTCAGCGCAGCAGCATGCACAATGCATAGTGAGGCTTATTAGTAAAATCATACATGAGTACACAAGTAGGAAACGTCATATACATACGTTCAATATTTTGCTTGACACGTTCACGCCTTGCCTCCAGCTCAGCCAGTTCCTGAAAGGAGCAACGATACATCAGCATCAGATGCAATGATCATGTTGCTCTCCTTGCTAAGTTTGAATTGATAATATAATAAAGAAAAACTTAGAAGGACAATGTGCTGTCTCACATTCCTGCTCTTACCTCTGGTGTTGGAGCTTTCTTCCTTTGGCCATTCAGCCAGCAAATCCACTCGACTACAAGCACGACATAACTATGAGATGCTGTATATGCACAATCAACAAATCCAAGCATATAATCTAGAATCAAGGCCACAATCCATACATGCCTGCAAATACGGTGTCGTATTAGTTAAATTGGGTTTCTCCATTTCTTCAATCACAGTATCACATTCACACCACAAAATCCTCATCGGATAAATGAGCAGGAAGGGAGGAAGGTAACCTGGAACGGTGGTCGAGTCCTGGTCGGCGCCCTTGAACTCCACCCACCGCCTCTCCTTCACTGTTCACATGTTCCGCAATCAAGAACAACATGAAGTAGAAGCAAAAGCAACAGCATCGATATTTGCTTAGCCGGCATTCACGTGCCTTCCTCCTCCTTCCCAGAGGAGACCAGGAGCGGGGAAACTAGAGGCAAGCCCGTGCAAGAAGGGGGAAGCAGGTTCCCAAGAGAGAGAGAGAGAGAGAGAGAAGTGGGAAGCAGAGGGATAGGATGAGCGGGGTGGACGGGGACACGTACTGCCGCCGTCGACCTCCTCGACGCGGGTGAAGTAGCGGTTGCCGGCCTTATCGACCCCCACCTGCGTCCGCGATTGGAACATGCCGAGCAGCCGCGACAGCAGCCGCTTGGACATCGCTGCTTCCGAATCTTCCCCGCTCCCGCCTCGCTAGAACAGGTCGGCGCGTCCCCTCTTCGTCGCCTGCGGCTCGCCGGAACCGGTCGCCACCTCCGTCTCCGATGGCCGTCGGCCTGCCGCCAGCGAATCAGTCTGGGTGTCTGGTCCACAGACGGCCCACTACACCATAGCTCAAGTAGTTATTAGGTTGGGCTATGTTTGGGCCGTTTCCAGGATAGGACTTGCAGCCCATCGCGCAGGACGAGAGCCCGAAGCTGGGAGCTTTTGCTAAAAAAGAAATATATATTTTCCTCGGGAGCTGGGCGGTGGAATCAGAAGAGAGCCCGAAGCCCCAAATCGTCGGCGGCGCCGACGCGATCTGCGCACCTGCGCTGCGCTCCTCTCCCTCGTATCGTATGCTCAAAGGCCATGCGGCGGCACCAGCGGCTTCGCCATCCCGGAATCCAAGCGCGCGGTATGCTTCCCTAGGTTTCTCGGTTTTTGATCTTTGGTCTACCTCCGTGGGGTGCCGTGGCGTCTACAACCTGTGTTCAGATTATTACTCCACGATAGCCATGCATGGGGGAGAAGATAAACATACATACATGTTTGGTTTGGTTGATAACAAAATTGTTTTCTGTTTCTTACGCAAAAGTTCGATAGAATAAACAAATCAATGTATTTAGTTAAAAGAAAAGTAAACCAGTGTGCTAGCCGCCGAAAATTGGTGTGTTTGATTCTCTTGTTCTTTAGTTTTTGGCTAAACTCTTTGGTAACCATGATGTATTGCACCTCAGATGGATCGATTGTTTCCGTGGCTGCGGGAAAGGGCTTGCCTTGTGATCAAGATTGTAACTCTCGAGAAGGCAAGATAAGTAGATATTCAGGGCCCACCCTTCCTGAGGTACGGCATAACGGTTGCATGTAATATCATCATAATTACTGTTACTGCAAAAACTTGGGTTGTGGGAAACTAATCTTTCGGACGGCATTTGACATGTGTCCCAAGCATCCACACAGAGCTTACAATAGCATATAGATAGCATAACCTTTGTATGGAGAAAGGGTGATACCTATAGTTATTTCTTTACAGAATGTATATGAAATTAAAACATCTCTGCATCAAATAATTTTTATCTTTTCCATGTTTGGTAATTTTGTGAGGTTTCAGGTTTCCTTCAGGTTATGACAACCTTTAAACTTATTTTCTCATGGTGCCAGAAGGAGATGTTGAAAAGAAACTCTTTAAACCTGTGTCCAGGTTATGCCACCCTTTAAAATTGTGTGGAATACTTAATGAAACACGTGTCACGAGGGCACGTTCGTGAAAAAAAATTGTATGGAATGTAGAAAAAAAAGGTTTATACTTCAAAGTTCTAGTTTGGTTTTGTTGAATTGATGAAAGCCTATGTGCTAATCCTTTGCTCTAAAGTGATTATGAGATAGGATAGCACATTCCAAGTGGTGGAGCAAGTGGTGAAGATCATGATGATGGTGTGATGGCCATGGTGATGATCAAGAGCTCGGGCTTGGAAAAGAAGAAAGAGAAAAATAAAAAGCTCAAGGCAAATGTGATATCCATAGGAGCTTTTGTGTTTTGGTGATCGAGACACTTAGCGAGTGTGAATACATTTAGGATAGATAGTCGTACTATTATAAGGTGTGAAACTCATAAAATACGGTTATCAAAGTGCCACTAGATGTTCTAACTCATTGCATTGCATTTAGAATCTAATGAGTGCTAACACCCTTAAAATGTTTATGAAAATATGCTAACACATGTGCACAAGGTGACACACTTGGTGGTTAGCACATTTGATCAAGGGTGGCGAAGTTGGAGAAGTGAAGGCGTTGTTTTCACTTACCGGATTCTAGAGGAGTGCGTCCGGTCAGTGGTGGTGAAGTAGCACGTCCTCGGTCTTCAATAGAACTCTGGCGAGGAGAGGACCGGACATGCAGGCCCTGCATCCGGTCATAGATGACGTACGCTGACGCAGGCGGTGTTGGTGTTGGCGCGCAGAGCCAGAGAGGACCGGACTTGATGCCGCGTCCGGTCAGGCACGATCGGACGCGTCCCATCGTCATTTTTTCTCTCTAGATGCTTACATGAAACGATCTGACGCTTGGTGACCGCAGGGAGCGGCGCGTACGGTCGTGGCGCTATGGTGCGCGGGCGCACAAGGACCTAACGCTGCTGCAGCGCATCCGGTCATCTCTTGGTGCATCCGGTCATGACTTAACGGTCGAGCGCGATCAAGTTAGTCGTTGGAGATCAGCGGCTCTCATTTAAAGGAGGCGACACGTGGCTGTGGATGCATGACCGAACGCTGAGGTCCGTGCGTCGAGTCAATATGACTGGTGCGTCTCGGTCAATATGACCGGCGTGTTCGGTCAGCCCATAGCAGTTGAGTTTTGAGGCCAACGACTATGTGGTCGGTTTGGGCTCTATATAAACGTGTTGGCCGACTCTAGCTCACTCTCTTAGCCATTTTCATTGACATAGCAACCTAGTGAGCTAAGCCAAAACCCTCCCACTCATCTCCGTTATTGATTTATCATCTTTGTGAGATTGGGAGTGAATCCAAGTGCATTGCTTGAGTGATTGCATCTAGAGGCACTTGGTGATTGTGTTTCGCTATGGATTTCGTTTGTTTCTCTTGGTGGTTGCGCCACCTAGATGGCTTGGTGCAACGAGGATCGTCTAGCAGAGGAAGGTGATTGTCTCTAGCTCCGATCGTGGTGATTGTGAAGGGTTCTTGACCTTTCCCCGGTGGAGAGCCAAAAGATAATCTAGTGAATTGCTCATAGCTTGTGGATCCCCATCTTGTGTTGGTTGTGCGGCCCTCGATTGCGTGTTAGGCGTGTGATGCCTATTAGCGCGTGAACCTCCAACTGGGTGAATCGCTACAATGAGGACGTAGCTTGCCGGCAAGCAAGTGAACCTCAGGGATAAATCATTGTGACATCTTGTCTCGAGGATTTCTTGGTATTCATTATGATTAATTAATTGATCATCTCTTGCCACGGTGGTATAAACATCACATCCCCTCTCTTGTATTTACTTTTCTAGTGTAGCTAAGCTCTTTAGTGTAATTAGTTTTGAGAGCTAGTTTGTGTCTCATCTAATGGTTAGTGAGGCTCTTTAGTTAGTCTTTGAGAGCCCACTAACTTAGTGATAGTGACCTAGTATTGTGTGCATAGAGACTATAGTTACTAGAATTGTGGTAGGCGGCTTTCATTTTTAGTAGGCTAGCGCAAGAATTGCTTCACCTCATATTTGTCTAACCACTTTGCTTAGTGTTGTTGTAGAAATTTTTATATGCTATTCACTCCTCTAACCATTAGGACCTTTCAAGTGGTATCGGAGCCGTGGTCACCGTGATTTGAGGCTTAACAACCTTCGGTGTCAAAATGGCTCAAATTAATAATACCAAGAAGCCACCCCAATTTGATAGCTCCAATTATCCGTATTGGAAGGCAAAGATGACAACATACATCAAGTCAATCAATAGAAATATGTGGAATGTGGTGGAGATCAAGATTGAGGTTGCTAATGTGGAAGCTCCCACCGTGGTCGAAGAAGTATTGCTCCAAAACAATGGCATTGCTCTTAGTGCCATTTATGATGCATTGGATGAGAGGATATTTGAGCAAATTAAGAACAATGAGATGGCTCATGAGGCATGGAAGAAGTTGGAGGAATCATTTAAGGGCACTCAAGCCGTGAAGGGTGCCAAGGCATATATCCTCAAGGAGAAGTTTGCTAGCTTCAAGATGAAAAAAGATAAGAGTGTGCCGGAGATGTTCTATAGGCTTCAAGTGCTTGTCAATAATCTCAAAGAACCTAGAGAAGAGGTGAAGGACAAGAACTTCTCCCACAAGTTCTTAGGATGCCTACCATCAAGATTTGGCATATTAGTCACTATTCTAGTGAGGAGTGGTTTGGACACCATGACACCAAACCAAGTATTGGGAGATGTGATGACCGATGATACAAATAGAGATAATGATGAGAAGGAAGAAAAGAAGAAGAAGAAAGATGACAAGAAGGATGACAAGAAGAAGAGTGTGGCATTCAAAGCCACATAATCCAAGGGCAAGGCCAAGCAAGACACTTCAAGTGAAGATGAAGGCTTATTTTCTTGGGATGATGATGATGAGAAGATGGCTCTCTTTATGAAGAGGTTTGGCAAATTTATGGTGAAGAAGGGCTATCGTGCAAGAAAGAAAAAGTCATCATCAAGGAACAAGGATGAGGCAAGGAGGTGCTTCAAGTGTGGTAGCAAGGATCATCTTGTTGCTCAATGCCCATACAATTGTGATAATGATGATGATGACAAGAAGAGCAAGAAAAAGGTCAAGAAGAAAAAGAAAGAGAATGACAAGTTGACCTTCAAGAAAAAGAAGAAGAGTGAGTTCATATGTGGTCACTTGGAATAGTGATATTTCCTCAAGTGATGATGATGATAGTGATGATGACAATACCACCAAAAAGAAGGCTCTTGCAACATTGCTATCAATGAGAAGCCTTCTCTCTTCGACACTTTGTCGACTTGCTTCATGGCTAAGGCCACTAAGGTACAGACTTGTGATGATGGATGTGATGAGGAACATGATAATGAAAGTGAAAGTTATTATGATGATGAATCAACCAAAAATGAACTAATTGATATGTTGGAAGATTCTAAAGAATATTTTGACATTAAGAGAAGGGAATGCAAAGACTTGCGTAAGGAACTAAAAGCCCTTAAGCAAGTCTTTGATGAGCTCAATGCATCTCATGAGAGGCTAAAGGAAGCCCATGAGAAGCTTGGCAAGGCTCACAAGAAACTTGAAAAAACTCATTCCTCTCTACTTGATGAGCAAAATAAGGAGCATGTTGTAACATGTGGCAAAGGCTTAACAGACACAATTGATAAATCTTTCTATAATTGTTGCTTCCACTAACTCTTTATGTAGCTCATCATTCACTTCCACTTCACCTATGAGTGATGGTTTCACTCGTGATGCCTCGCTTA